CTGTTTAATCAAAGGAGACTCTAACTTATAAAATCAAAAAATATTTTTTCCAGTGTTGTTGTCTATACATTTCATTTTATGCTTTCAGTACGTAGACAACAACAATGTTAGGTTATACTTTTGTCACTAAGCAACATGACACAAAAGCATTTGTTGGGACATAGTATTACCAAAACGCTTTTCTATATATATATTAGAAATTGTTAATCTAACTGATTTTAATCAATAATTATTTCCTGATTACTCCACAAATTCATTTCATGAATGATGTTAATTTTGATTGGCTAAATAATTTACCGACGTTTGTCTGCCTCAACTGCATTTTTCTGCCTCTTTGTTGGTCAAGCTTGATTTGGAAAATTTATTTATTTGACTTAGCTATGAAATGTGAGGTTAGGGTATAATATGGGGTGTGGGTAGTAGTACTTGCCCCGTCATTTGTAACGAGCTATACACTAGTGTTAATATTAAACACCAGTAGAAATCTGCCGACGTTTAATCATGTTAATGTAAGACATTACTAGAATCCTGAAGTACAGAACTTCATGTTTATACTAAATCTCAACAACATTATGTAGCTAACGAAATCACGTTCATAGTGGAACTTCGTAGAATTTCACAACACGCGACTTTGACCTCCTTTTCAAGAAAAAGCCACGCACGTGCTCGACATAATAGGCAAGTGCACCATTCAATTTTTCTTTTGAAACATCTCCATGGAACGAAATACACTCTTTATAAATCCAACAATGTTTTAATAATAGGTGTTTACAGTAAGTGAGTGAGAATTCACACGAAATGTTAACATCTGCCAGCACTATTGGCGGTAAGGGATAAATACATCTGTCAGCACTATTGGGGTAAGGGATAAATACATCTGTCAGCACTATTGGGGTAAGGGATAAATACATCTGTCAGCACTATTGCAGGTAAGGGATAAATACATCTGTCAGCACTATTGGGGTAAGGGATAAATACATCTGTCAGCACTATTGCAGGTAAGGGATAAATACATCTGTCAGCACTATTGTGGGTAAGGGATAAATGAATTGTTTTAAATTTTCCAAAGGAAAGTTCTGTGTATTATAACGCTAAAGTCTAGGGTTCGATTCTCCGCGGTGGACACAGTGGATTGTCAAATGTGACCTTTCAATAAAATAAACAAACAGAAAAAATCACATGTTTCGGAATATTTAAAAATAGTAGCAATTCTTCAGTATGGCCTGAAAGCATACAATTATTTATTAATTCGACCTTATTCATGTATGAAAAAAAAACTAAATACTTGCTTTAAACATCTTTCAATAGTATTTCACTCCATTATTAGTCTTTCATTTCTAAGTACAGTTTCTGTACCACAGAATACACAAACAGAAATAATTTTAATTTTATTATTAACGCTATAATATTATTTTATTTATTTCTAGCATACTTCCAGATTGTACAGTTCTCAATTAAATATAGTAAAGTTGTTTAATGGTTTAAAGCTTTACGAAAGTTATTTAATAAAACAATTTAAAAGAAGAAATATGTCATATTAAGTTCATTGCGTTATAGATGAGCCGAGAGCGGCCCAGGGGTCAGCTAGTCGGACTGTAGAGCTAAGGTTCCCTAGATCTCGCACGTTACAGCCAAAGAAAATTGTGCTCAGCAATTTGGAGCTCTAGGTGCATTATAAGGGTAACTGTCAAATCTCATTATTCTATTAAAGTAGCCTCAGAGTTGGTGGTGTTGACTATCTCCTTTACCTCTAGTCCTTCATTTCAAAATTAGGGACAGCTAATGCAAATATCCCTCATGTAGCTTTGCACGAAAATTCAAAAAACGAATAAGATGTAGATAAAGAGGTGTTAACATTTATCATAACAGTAAAACGTCAGTTATTCAACATAACCTAACAACTTTGTTACATTCTGTTTTAGTTGGTTAATATTTACTTTCAATATTCCTTTCAAAAATGCCCCCCAGTGGCACAGTGGTATGTCTGCGGAGTTACAACGCTAGAAACCGGGGTTCGATACCCGTGGTGGGTATAGCACAGATAGCCCATTGTGTAGCTTTGTGCTTAACTTCAAACGAACAAACAAACCTTTCAAAACAATGTATAAAATGGTGTTTATAACGTATCCATCACCTCAAGCTGCGGAGTCATTAGCTACTGAAATAAAAGGGGAAGGAATTTTGTGTGACGTCTGATTGGTACAATTCTATACATCTCACCAGATGTCACATTAATAATTACGTTATTTGTGACTTAGTTTACTCTGATGTATGATCATTATGATCTTAATATTTCAAATTACCCATAACATTTCATTACATCAGCTCTTTTACGATTACTTACAATAACTTATAAAATTGTGATGGGATCTAAATATATATGTGTGTGTGTGATGGTTCCTAATAAAGTGTTGATGTGTGTGATGGTTCCTAATAAAGTGTTGATGTGTATGTGATGGTTCCTAATAAAGTGTTGATGTGTGTGATGATTCCTAATAAAGTGGGGATGTGTGTGTAATGGTTCCTAATAAAGTGGTTATGTGTGTGATGGTTCCTAATAAAGTGGTGATGTGTGTGTGATGGTTCCTAATAAAGTGGTGATGTGTGAGTGATGGTTTCTAATAAAGTGGGGATGTGTGCGTGATGGTTCCTAATAAAGTGGTGATGTGGGTGTGATGGTTCCTAATAAAGTGGTGATGTGTGTGTGATGGTTCCTAATAAAGTGGTGATGTGTGTGTGATGGTTCCTACTAAAGTAGTGATGTGTGTGTGATGGTTCCTACTAAAGTGATGATGTGTGTGTGATGGTTCCTACTAAAGTGGTGATGTGTGTGTGATGGTTTCTAATAAAGTGGTGATGTGTGTGTGATGGTTCCTACTAAAGTAGTGATGTGTGTGTGATGGTTCCTATTAAAGTTGTGATGTGTATGTGATGGTTTCTACTAAAGTGGTGATGTGTGTGTGATGGTTTCTAATAAAGTGGTGATGTGTGTGTGATGGTTCCTACTAAAGTAGTGATGTGTGTGTGATGGTTCCTACTAAAGTTGTGATGTGTATGTGTGATGGTTTCTACTAAAGTGGTGATGTGTGTGTGTGATGTTTCCTAATAAAGTGGTCAGACAGTATATTTATCTCATGATGTAGAGGAATGTCTTAAGGTTTTGTTCAGATAACGTCTGAATCAAATTTATTTCAAAACATCAGATATTTTACAATTGTATTGAATATGTTTTAGTATCA